ATCCAATTTATATACATGTATAAGGGGTATTTATGGAATAAAAGTTTCATCTTTCTCCTTAAATTACTTTTTTAATGTTAGTTTTTCTTATTTTGACTAATTTTGTTACCAAAACCTTAACCCTACGGGAGGTTTGTGTAATTTTACAAACCCCAATGAAGGCTAGTGAAATTGTTAGAAACCTTGAAGAGGTTTGTGAAATTATCCCTAATATCAGTTTCCAGTTTGTGTTTTTTTTTTAAAAAAAAAAAGGTTTTAATGTTATGGTCTTATGAATGTTAAATTAGCTTCAGAATTTAATAGCTATAGTAATTATATTATGGAAATTAAGGAGCAATAAGTGAGTTTGTATTTAGTCTGAATTAAACTCACAACCCAAATATTTTGTAAGTCAAGTATGAACTTCATTTTTATCAATTCGGAATTTATAACCCGAAAATGATTCTAATTATATGACTCGAGTCTAGATTTGTTAAGCCTTAATTCAGTGGCCCATTTTACAGGCCTACTAGCATGGCTAATTGCTTTGATACAAAAGAGTAAAATAAATCAATAAACACTACGAAGAATGCCCATGCAAAGCATGGGAGTTTATACCTGTGGTGTTAAATAATTTGGTAATATTGGACAATTTGTTTTTACCTTAGGCAAGGCATACAATTAATAGTAGCCAAAAAGGTCATAACATTGCATACTATTATAGTAGATAATCAGTTGAGAGATTTATAAAAGTTTACGCAACCATAATGTATGGATAATAGACATAGTTGTTGTTCAGATTGAAGGTTGATGTTGAATAGTTCTACTATTCAACGTCATACTATTCACATAGATAGATAGATAAAGTAGTAGTGCTAAGATATAAGTAGATAAATAACTGAAGTAGCAGTCTCGCAATCTTTTCTATTGAAGAGTAGGTGATATAGGGATGAGAAAGGACACGATTAAATTTCTGCTTCTCTAGGTACGGTGCTTCTTGGTTGGTGGCTGAGCGCCTTCTGCAGAGTTTTGAGTTTTAGTAATTGTGGTTGGAGTTTTTGGAGTGGAGCTTGGTTTTGTTGTTACTTCCAAAGACTTCTATTTCATGAGTTCAACTAAATTCAGTGAGAAAATAACATTGCATATGAACATAAAGACTTGTCTATTCAAATAGCAATTTCAATCTACTGACACCATCTCATGCACTTAATTATTGAAATAAAAAATTTGCATTATCTGTAATATATTTTTAAAATTGGATCAATCATTCACATATTTGTTAAAGGCTCCACATAGCTGTAATCAATGCAATAAAATTGTAATCACATTTAAACAATAGATGACATGCATCAAGTGAAAATACACAATTAACTTGTACCTTTTGGAACAAAATGCAATCTAACAAGAAAATCTGCCCACACTTCACCCACCTGCAATAGCTACGACAAAAGCTAATTCATGAATTTTATTGTGCAAACAAAGCTATACAGTTCACAAAGCCAAAAACATGTATAAAAATGAAGATACCTCTACAAATCTAACTCTAATGGTCGGAAATGGTAGCATCTAAACCCACAATTTTATATATTAATGACTGCCCTTATTGCCACTTAGTTCAGAAACTAATCTACAAATGGTGGAGAAGATGGAGGGTCCTTAGTTACAGTTGTAACGTTGAACTCAAATGATTCTTAATTCCCACACTTTAATGAGCTCTTAAACATGCTGCAATTACTGGTTCAAATGAATCTGTTTTGTTGGAAGAACTCAATTAATGTTTCTGAGGTCTAACGATTAAACGCACAAAACTTCTTACTATTACAGTTCACAAATAGTTTTCAAATGGTTCTTCTACTTTGGCCCATTAATAAACACATTTAATTCAATTGAATGGCTTACCCCAATTCACCCCACTGCCTTTCTGTCTTACTATTGTACTAAACGGGTAGTTAAAATGGTGAAACTGTCACTAACTGACATATAAGCACCATTTGTGAATGTAATCATCATCTCACAAAGGACACTTAGGTAAACTCATACTCCAATGAGCATGGCATGCTTGTACTCTGAGGTGAATTACTTGTATGATACTTATGCAATTCCTAAATTGCCCCTTAAAATATTGGATGAAAATCACCCAATAGACAAACTATAACTCGTTTTTATATGTATATAAGAAATCATACTCCAATGAAATAGGGAAATAGAAGGATTGGTTACGCACACATCCTGACCATTGGTTCGTTGTAACAGTTTGATGGGAAAGGACAACCTATTCGTCCTGTAAATATACTTAAAAAAAAAAAAAAAAAAAGGTCTTCTCTTTTTTCTTTTTTTTTCCCTTCTTCCTCTGGTTCGCTCCGCCATCTTGGTTTCCTTTCTGCCCAACACCATCCACCATTTCTAGTTTTTTTTTATGGCTAATTTGACTAGTTACTAGTCTCCAATCAAAACCTCCCTTCCTACTCTTCTTTTTCTAACAGAAACAAACAAACATGTGTACATGTGTGTGTGTGGCTGTGTGCAACCAAAAAAAATAAAAGAAGCAAATATACAATTCCAATTGAAGTGTAAGTATAGCTTCGAAATTATGCCATAAAGTGCAGTGTGCAAAAAAAGTCTCCATTGGAACTTGGAAGGAACAATGGAAATAATGGCAACCAAGAAAGACGCAACTGATTGAGGCAGTAGATGGCGCGGGGTGAGGGACGAGAGAGATGTGAAAACACAGAGTGGGAGTGGCTAATTTGAATCATGATTATGGGCCTTCAAGCATTAAGGGCTGAAAGAGGGTTAGTTTTCCAGTGGTGGTTATCGGGGATGCCACACAGGTTGATGGAGAAGAGATGAGAAGAAGAGATAGGAGGAGCATGACTTTATATATATATATATAATTAGATTACTTAAAGGACTTGTTTAACAATTAACATTATTAACATAGCAACTAGCAAGTAATGCCGATTGACGTAGAAAAATCTGCAGCTCGAAAGTCGAAAAGCTAACAATTTAGGACGACTTTGGTTCACAAAAATCTTGGATATAGTCACTCCCAATTCAAATGCAATTTCCTTTCCTTGTTCACGGCATTGCCTAGCTTCCAGATTTTGAATTGGGATCACTATTAAAACATCAAGTTTAAGATTACCAGCTTCGCTCCCTTAATGTGTTTAAACTAGAGATTAACATTTTTTAATCTTTTACAAGAATAATAGAAGAACTTTTGTTTCACTTTTTTGGTCTAGTTCCAATTTAGGAAGCTTAAATTTGGTGGAAAGTAGTATGTTTAATGAACTATTCAGGAGCACAAGGAAGGTAGAAATCCCATGCAATCAGAAAATATCTTGCTTTAGTCCAATAGAACTGATAATTGTTCTCACACGTTTTCTGACCTGAATGTGACAAGGGATAATTTCAAAAGCCTCCCTGAGGTTTCTAATTATTTCACTACCCTCTCTCCAGATTTTAAAAATTATGCTAAACCCTCTTGAGATTTATTATCTTGTAACATTTAGATTCAACCAACAATTAAAAACTGATATTATGAGAGAGAAAATAATATGATTCCACCGTTGCCCCTCATCTACTAAATGAATTGATTAATCTAATACACGCCCAAACATTAAAGAAAATACTAAAATTTACAATTTATCATCAGGGATTAAATCATATATGGCATCAAAAATAGTATATCATTCTATGTTTATTTTATTTAATGTAAAATTTAAATTACTCTATTCAGCTACAAATTTATCGTCAAACATAATCAACAACAAATAATAAAAAATAATTGTAACTAAAATATTACAAAGAGTAAATTTTAATATCATAAAATTCTCAGCAACTAACCTTAATTTGTTGATAAGAATATTTATGATGTTAAAGTTTGTTCTTGTAATATTTTGGTTGCAAATTTTTCGATTATTTGTTGTTAATCACGTTTGGCAATAAGTATATAACTAAAAAGATTAGTTTGGATCTTGTATTAAGTGAAAAATATAACATAATATACTATTTTTTGATACTATATGTGATTTGATCCCTAACGATAAACAACAAATTTTAATATTTTTCTTTAATGTGTGGATTAGTATTAAATTAATTAAATAATATAATAGATGAGGGACAATAATAGAATTATATTATCTTTTCTCTCATAATATTACTTTTTAATTATCGATTGGATCTTAAACGTTACAAGATAATTAACCTCGAGAGATTAGTGTAATTTTTGAAACCTGAAAGGAGGCTAGTGAAATAGTAGAGATTTCTAAAATTATCCCAGATAACAACTACCATCATAGTTTTGAAGCTGTATTTAGTTTGAGAAATGATCTTCCATTTAAGTTAAACTGAGTCCATCGGGGCCGGCCCCGGGGCGGGGGGATGGGGGGTTGTTACGGGCGGCAGATATCCTTAGCCACCACCGCAAACACCATTGCATGTTCTTTCGAATGTTCTTTGTTTGTGGACCTACTTCTGGAAAAATAATCAAATTCCATACGGGATACATGTCCAAAATTTCCCCTCCAAACAGCAAGCAACAGTAGAACAACCAGCAGTTCAAAACCATCAGAGGACCGAATTTCAAATCCTGTTGTTGGGATCTGTCCTTTCTTTCTCAGGTTCACGTACTGTACCAATCCACCTCCTCCCTCAACCTGTGCGACATGTAAATTTTGTAAACCCTGCCATCGCCTTCTTATTCAGATGAAGTTAATCACAGGGTGCTTCAGAATCTCAGGAAATGAATCTCCCGTTCCTCTTTCGCATGGCACAGCAATGCTGTTAGTTTTATATCTCTAAACAACCAAGTGAACAACTATTGAAGCACATGCTGAAACACCCCCCTCCCCCCCCAAAACTCCCACAAAAAAAAAAAAAAATCCAAATCCTGCATCTTAGAATTTTTCTACTAACTGCTTAAATCTTGGAGGAACCAGAGTTTAAGAATGACAAAGTTGCCTTCAAATGTGTGAAACATACGAAGGAATCTAGAAGCCAGATATTAAAACTTCTAATATAGGAAGAGCACTCTAAATATGCCTCAATAAATTGTGCGAAAGTAGCCCATGGCAAATCTTCATCTCCACGACAGGGGAGTCATAACAATTTGATAATACCACAAACATCTAGCTCATTCCAGGTCAATAACAACTGATGAAGAAGCAGATTGATAGCTCAGACCTTGCACCCATTTATGCAGAGGAAATTAAGGAGATCTAAGATGATAGCTAAGAGAATGTCTGTACCATCATCTGCTTAATTTTTCTGACCAAAGTCCCACCAAGCTCACTTTAAGGATATTTAACCATTAGAGACAGCAACTAGCTTTTGGTACCTACAGAGAAAAGAAAGAAGCATTTAGTAAATAAAGAAAGCACATATGGAATGGGGAAAAAAAAGCAAAAAAGCACATATAAAAGAGGGGTAGTGATAATACTAATAAGTCACAAGTGGCATATTAGTTTTTCCCTTTTCCATTATGTTTCCCTAAATCTTCAGGACCTTTAGAGTAACCATCATCGATTTTCGAAAGCCTCCCCTTGCTTGTTTCTCATAATCATGTTCTTATCAACCAAGATGATAGCTGCATCTCTTTGCTGTCCAATAACAAACAAATAAGTAATCTGTTTTTTGGTAATTAAACATCTAAACTTATGATAATAGTCACGATAGAGGAAGCCACAAAACTACAATGTTAGGCACCTTAATATCTGATAATTTCTGTTTGGACAAGGGAGATTGAAGCAACAACAGTGATACATGTGTGACAACTAGATAAAGGGCAAATTTGCCCACTATGCAGCTGCAAAAAAATAAATAAAAAAAAATATGGAAATTCCATTCATATGCAAAGTAATCTATCACTGGACACACAATTATCCACAGAAAAGGAAAAAACCAGCATGTACGTCTATTAGTCTACTGAATATTGTGTCTCAAAACCTACATAGCAACTAAACTAAATCTAAAAAGCTATCAGTGGCAAAGCCACAAAACTTAAACTCCTGAATAGCAAAATTGCACCTTATTTTGCTAGACTTTGATTGTAGATGCCTGAATCGAGACTGGCCACAGGGGAAGTGCGAAGCGGTAGACCAAATACCAGTGGATATCCTTTTTTAAGGTAACATTATCTGTTTGTAAAGTAACATTATTATCCAGCTCTCGCAATTGTTGACTTAGGAAATCATAGGAGAGAATACTTCTACCATACCCGAGATACACAGTATCAGAATCAAATGGGTGGAAAGTAATTGGCACCAAATATGGCGAATCAGGAAATGAAATATCACATGCAAGTTCACTTAGGCTGATACGGTGCTCCAATAACCAATGCCCTTCGTCATAGTCACTGAGTGTCCACATACTTATCCTCAATCCATCATTATAAGCATTAGATGCTGCAAAAAATCTCAAATGGCCACGATGAACATCAAACAGTATAGTTTTTTCATCAACCCGTTTGCTCCATTCTCTGTCTATATCCCCCGGAAGTTCTATAATCCGACAAGAATGAGGACCTTTATATGGATCGTAAGCTAAAATCCCAAGCTCCCTATCCATAAAATGCAATATTTCTTTTAAAACAACAGGCATCTTCCTGAGAGGCAAAAGTTGAAGTACTTGCTGAAGAGGAATATCAATATCCCTCCATTCACCAGTTTCAGAAGAGAATATATCAAGCTTGAGGATGCTGGTTTTTCCCCTACCATCTTCAAGTCTATTACTTTGTAACTAGCGACAACACTATCTTTCACCTGGCTGATGAACCCTACACAGCAATAGGGAAAGGGACGCTGTGATGGCGGAATTTCAACATACTGCTTAGTGATGGGATTTAGAATATAATAGCGACCTAAATGCCACCCGCAATTTGAGCCACATAACAATAGCCCATTACCGTCCATGGCAATAATGTAATCAAGTATTCCGTATGCCTCAGTTCCATGTGCCTGTGCGGAAGCAGGAAGATCAGACTTAGTAAGACAGGCTAAACCAACATCATTTGAAAACAAATTCCTGAAAAACCCGTGCTCATGATGAATTTCTTCCGCATGTATACATTTATAGAGAAGAGTCCAGAGTTTTGGTTGTGCAGATGGTGATGCAATTCTTGAAACAAAAGCAAGTCCAAAGGAAGGAGCGTCAATCACGGAGCGCCATTGTTTGCAGACGCACTTGCATCTAAAGACACACTTCATTGGCAAACGGATGAGCAATTCAATCACAACCGATTCTGGAATATAAGGGAAACCTGACCTCGAAGCTAATCCAGAACCAGATTCTGGGACGACCCTTTCACCAGATACTCTACCGCTATCCATCTCCGCCGGAGGAACGAGACTACGATCCCAGATGCCGTCTACCAACTCTTAACTAGGATTAGATGCTTTTGTGGGGAAATTCAACAAACAGTTGGTGGACATCCAAACAAGCTCGTCGATTTGCAATTTCACTCAAATACAAAAGGCTGTAATTCCCACTTTTGATGATGATGGCATCCAATCCAAAAGCTTCCTATCGGTTGCAAGCCGCGGCAGGCAAGAAATTATGCAGTTGTAGTTGTTTTTCTCATTATAACCCACGATCAAAGGGTTAATTGATTAGAATATAGGTGTAAAAAAGAAAAGTCAGACACTTGCGGATCTGACAGAGTCCATATATAAAACTATGGGTACCGGACTGAAACAACCCGGCACCTGACAGAAACTTTTTTTTTTCTAAAACATGTCAGGTACCGGGCTGAGACAGCCCGGTACCTGACACATTTTTTTTTTTTAAAACGATGTCCGTGAATTGCAATTCATCCAACTGAGTCAATTGAGTGAATTGCAATTCACTTTATTTGTTAAGCTAGTTGGTAAATGCAATTCACTTTAATTAGTTTAGTGGATTAATTAGTTTAATTAATTGAGTGAAGTAATTTTAAGAGATTCGATTAAATGCATTTAATTAAGGTGATGGTTTAATTTGTTATTTATTAAATATTCATTTATTTGTTATAAATGATTTAATTATTTAATTATAATGCATTATTTGTTGTTATTTGTTATTATTTGTTGTTATTTAATTACACTTTATTTGTTGTTATTTGTTATACTATTTGTTATTATTCGTTGTTATTTAATTACACTTTAGTTGTTGTTATTTTTTATTATTTCTTATAATTATAGAATCGCAATTATTTATTTATTTGTTATAAATTATATATATTTGATTCAATTAATTAATTATTCAAATAAGCATATTAATGAGGTTCTAAAATGCTATCAACACTCGTCTCTAATAGGTATAACATGTCAAGTGATAATTGCTTGGTGATTCAAGTATATTGGGGTGGAAAAATTATAAACGAAGGAGGGTCAATTTCATATGATCTTTCTAAACCGAAACAAGTGTTGTTCCTTACAGAGATGATAGGTTATGATGATTTGGTAGACAAAATATACAATCTTTTGGGTTTAGATCGGAATCTTCTGGGTAGACAAAATATACAATCTTCATTACATGTTTGCTAAATATCAAATATTACAATATGGGAATTTAGCCTTTTATTATTTGAATGCTTATCGTTATTTTTATATTTAGCCATTTCACTGTTGTCATGCTATGCATTTTTTCTTCTTTTTTTGGTCCTTTTTTTATATATTGCACAATAAATTTAGTTTTATAAAATTATAGTGAACATTAAAAATTACATAAAAATTCTAACAAATTATTTCTCAACAATTTGAGAACTACATCTTATTACAAAATGAATGGTATATTTTGTTTGAAAAACATTGTCGTAGTTTAACATCCTATAGGAGTAATTAGTGATTTTGCACAAATCTATTTTCTTCTTTTTCTTACGTTTCAACTTTGAAATGTAAATTAATTAACTTAAATTTCAAAGTATTTAGTACTTTTAGGTCGACTCAGCTTTTTATTAAACTTTTTTTCTTGTTTTGGTTTTTTGATTTGTTTTTGTATGGGAGATTTATGAAATTATCCTCACAATACAAACTACGAAAAAAATTCAGAACTTAAATAGATGTTCTATTAGTATGCATTATGTTCAATCGGTAAAATGCAAAAATTCAATATAAGTACCAACACGAGAATGAACACAAAATCTAAAATGTTTAGGGTTTAGGGGGCCTGTTTGGCACCCTAGTTTTTTACCAAGTTTTTTAGCTACTAGTTTTTTAACAACTTTTGCTACAGGAACCCCAAAAAACTTTTCAAAGTTTTTTACCTACACACTTCAAAAATCTATACACAAAAAATTTCTCAAAAACTTTTCTTCCTCCCTCACCCAACCCACCACACCAGACACCGCCTCCACCACCTCTCCTGGAGCCGGTCACCTATTCCGGCGCCGCCGGTAACCTCGAAATTTTTTTTTGAATTTTGAGTCCCTCACTCTCAAAAATTTATTATATATATTATATATTTATATATTTATTTAAACATATTATAAATATTTTATTTTATTTAAAATATATTTTTATATATTTATATAAATATTATATAGCATATAAATTAATATTAATATAAATATGTAATTATACATTTATATAAATATTATATATTATATATTTAATATATATAATACATATTATATATATTACACATTTATGTATATATATTTATGTATATTTATATACAATTATATTATGTATTATGTATAACATAATACATTTATACATAATATTAACACACAATATTAATTATACATTTATACATAATACTAATACATTTATATTAATTATATTAATACATTTATACATAATATTATATATTTATAATATATTAATTTATATATTTTTTATAATATTCATTTATAATAATATACAATTATTACATTTGTAAATATATTTATATTATGTATTATATTTAATATAATACATTTATGTATTTTAATATAACTATATAAATATATTTATTTATAAATGTATTATAAATGCACCAATATATATAAATATTTAAACAATAAAAATTATAAATTATAAACAATAATAATTATACATTTATACATAATATTAATACATTTATACATTTATATTAATTATATTAATACAGTTATACATAATCATCATATATATTTATAAATTATAAATTATACATTTATATAATATTCATTTATAATATATACATTTATATTAATTATACATTTATACATTTATAAATATATGTATATTATGTATTATATATAATATAATACATTTATATATTTTTATATAAATATATAAATATATTTATTTATAAATATTTATAAATGTATTATAAATGCATAAATGCATATAAATATTTAAACAATAAAAAATATAAATTATAAACAATATTAATTATACATTTATACATAATATTCATACATTTATACATTTATATTAATTATATTAATACATTTATACATAATCATCATATACATTTATAAATTATAATTTATACATTTATATAATATTCATTTATAATTTATACATTTATATTAATTATACATTTATACATTTATAAATATATGTATATTACGTATTATATATAATATAATACATTTATATATTTTTATATAAATATATAAATATATTTATTTCTAAATATTTATAAATGTATTATAAATGCATAAATGTTTAAAAATATAAAAATATAAAAATTATAAATTATAAAATACTCAAAAATATGTTTTAAAAATACCTCAAAAAATAATCCAAAAAACGTCTACAGTAACATTTCAAAAACTTCTACAAAAAAGTTTTTCACCTTACAAAAACTTCTACAAAATTTTTTCAAAAACTTCTACAGTGCACTACAGTAAAGTTTTAGACAAACTCCCAAAAAACTCAGGTTCCAAACAGGCCCAGGGTTAGGGTTTTGGGTTTTGGGTTTAGGGTTCAAGGTTCAGGGTTTAGGGTTTAGGGTTTTGATCTTTAGAGTTTAGGGTTTTAGGGTTTAGGCTTTAGGCTTTAGGGATTAGGGTTTTTAGGTTTAGAGTTTAGAGTTTAGGGTTTAGTGTTTAGGGTTTAGAGTTTAGGGTTTAGGGTTTAGTGTTTAGTGTTTAGGGTTTAGGGTTTAGGGTTTTGATCTTTTGCATGATGCAACGTGTCACAAATTGCGATTGATAATTACTAATCATATCACAATTTCAGCCTTACGATATTTTCTTGAGAATAAAATGAGAAGCTATAAATGAAAGAGGAAAATTCAAAATTAAAAGAATATGAATAGTAGATAATTGTATTTCAAGTCAAGTGATTTGAATTCTACTGGGAAAGTTTCACTAAGAATTTTTTGTTACTCGGCACATTTTGTTTGGTAGACTTATTAATTTTTTTTATTTTTCAGAAAAATTCGGTCAAGTACCTGGCTGACACAGTCCGACACTTGATAGATTTAAAAAAAAAATTTCCTGTCAAGTGCGATTCTATAATTATAAGAAATAATATAACAAATAACAACAAATAAAGGGTAATTAAATAACAACGAATAATAACAAATAGTATAACAAATAACAACAAATAAAGTGTAATTAAATAACAACAAATAATGCATTATAATTAAATAATTAAATCATTTATAACAAATAAATGAATATTTAATAAATAACAAATTAAATCTAATTCATCACCTTAATTAAATGCATTTAATCGAATCTCTTAAAATTAATTCACTCAATTAATTAAACTAATTAATTCACTAAACTAATTAAAGTGAATTGCATTTATCAACTAGCTTAACAAATAAAGTAAATTCTGCAATTCGATGTGAATTGCAATTCACTCAATTGGATGTCAGGTGGAGCCCGGCACTTGACATTTTTTAAAAAAAAAAAATGTGTCAGGTGCCGGACAGCCCGGCACCTGACATGTTTTTTAAATTAAAAAAAAAGGTTTCTGTCAGGTGCTGGGCTGAGACAGTTTTATACACACACTCTATCAGATCCGTAAGTGTCTGACTTTTCTTTTTTACACTTATATTCTAATCAATTAGCCCAATCAAAGAGTTGAAACATTTATAATATATTTGTTTTTTACTTTGTCGCGTAGGGCACATTTATATATATATATATATATATATATGTATATACGTTCGTAATTTTGGGCCTATTTTCACGTCCTAGAATATCTTCTTAAGGCTGTGTCCCAAGAAAACAAGCAACAATTAAACATAAAAATTGGGTTTTTGTTTATTTGGTTCATGGCAGAATTGTTAATGGGACGGGCTAGTCCAAACTCGGCCCAATCCACTTATTTAAATGAATTAGTAGAAATAGAGGTAGAATGTGAACATAAATGGATAAATAGAAAAGGATCAAATAGTAAATCATGTTATATTTGTGAAAGGTACCCACCTTTAGCACTTAAATTTCAATGCAATAATTGCTTAAAAGAAGCCTGTAAATTCTGTTTAGAAAAACAAAAGATTGAGCTAGAAATTATTGATAAAAGCAAAAAGAAAGTAGATCCAGTAGAACACCATTTAGAAAGAAGAATAAGAATATTAGAAAATAAAGTAGACAATTAGAAGAATTTTTTTATAAAAATAAAAATAAAGAGGTTTAGGAAAGCAAATTAGAAATAATTAGTGAAACTTCTAGATTCATAGAAATTCTAGATAAAAGAAAAGAAGGAAAAACATATAGCAACAATTTAATGGTTATAGTAAAAATAGACAATTGCGAAATAGAAGTCCTAGCTTTAATAGATACAGGATGTAATAATACAGTTTTAAAAAGCAC